AGGCTGACGAATGTGACGGGTGATTCGGGCTGTGCGCCAGAAGGGGAAACTAGTTCACCGGGTAGACGTAGAGTTGTACCGTATACTAGTTCGGCTGGGGAACAGTGAAGATCCTCCTTAATAGTGGAGCGAATAGCAAGCAAAATGAGGGGTAAAGAAGAGGACCATGAAGATGGGTTCATTTGGGCAGTCAATGCAGCTTTGAGGTAGCGATGGAAACGCTCAACCAGACCGTTGGAACAGGGATGATACGCGGTAGTCGATATGTGATGGAAACCGAATAGTGTAGAAAACTCACGGAAGAGATTACACTGAAATTGTGAGCCGCGATCCGTAGTAACGGTGGAAGGTATACCAAAATTACTAACCCAGTGTTGCAAAAATGAAAAAGCAACTGTTTCAGCTGAAGTATCCGAAATGGGTACAGCTACTGGCCAACGGGTAAAACGATCAATCATGGTAAGGATATGAGTGAAACCGTTTGATGGGGAAAGAGGACCAACAATATCGAGATGGACGTGTGTGAACCGAGCATCAGGAACGGCAAATGAACCAATAGGTGAGTTCGTATGCCGAGTTACTTTAGTGCGTTGACAGGCGATGCACTGTTTGGCCCAGGATGTCAGGTCCTTATTCATGAAGGGCCATACAAAACGTGCACTAATCAACTTCCTGGTTGCTCGGATTCCTGGATGAGAAAATCCATGGAAGTGGTCGAAAACAACGCGTCGGAAAGCTTCGGGGACGATTGGGCGAGCTGATCCGGTAGACATATCACAAAAAATGGCTCCGGATTGGAGGGGTAACGGAGTTGAAGAGACTTGAAATGAAGGGAACGATAGAATAGGCAAAAAATTAGGATCAGTGTTTTGAAGGTTCGCCAGCTTGGCTAGGTCCAACTGCGTGGAAGGGTGAAGAGCGTTTATGTCAGGACGGGATAAGGCGTCTGCGACGACATTGTCCGAACCTGGAGTGTACCGAATGTCGGTAGTGAACTGTGAAATATAATCCAGATGGCGTATCTCGCGTGGTGAATATCGATCAGGCTTGGCGTTGAAGGCGTATGTGAGTGGCTTATGGTCGGTTTGAATGGTAAACGATCTACCCTCTAACAAGTGCCGGAAATGGCGAATAGCAAGGTAAATTGCGAGTAATTCACGACCAAAAGTACTGTAACGCGTTTGGGCAGCCTGCATCTTCTGCGAGAAAAACGCTAGTGGTTGAGGTGTGTTGTTAACAACTTGATGAAGCACTGCACCGACGGCAGCATTCGAAGCATCAGTTGTCAAAATCAGCTTTGTGCTCTCGTGAGTATCGAGGAAAGATAACTTTGTGGCCTGAGCAATGGCGTGCTTGGCTCTTTCGAAAGCAGCAGTGGCGGCGGGGTGCAAAGTAACAGATTTCTCTTTGGAGCCAAGTAAATCGGTCAGTGGCTTCAAAATATCTGCACAGTGAGGGATGAATCGCCGGTAGTAGTTGATGATACCAATGAAACGACGAAGTTGAGTGATAGTTGTGGGCATGGGAAATGACTCTAAGGCCAAAATGCGATCGGGTAATGGTGAAATACCTGTGGCGTCAATGTGGTGGCCAAGAAAATCCAGGCTAGTAACACCGAATAAGCATTTGTCAATGTTCAAACGTATGTTGTAAGTGGAAAAACGTTCAAACACTGCTCTGAGATGAGCTGTATGTTCAGCTGGGGAGGTGCTAGCGACTAAAACATCGTCAAGGTAGGCGTACACAAACGGTAAGCCACGTAAAACCTCGTCCATGAAACGTTGAAACGTTTGGGCTGCATTTCGAAGACCAAAGGGCATACGCGTGAATTCGAAAAGGCCAAACGGTGTTGTGATGGCTGTTTTGGGAATGTCATCCGGAGCTACGGGTATGTGGTAGTATGCTCTTACGAGATCGAGTTTGGAGAAAATGTTTGTATGGCATAGGGTACTTGCAAAATCGTGGATATGTGGGATGGGATACCTGTCTGGGATAGTAGCGTTGTTGAGAGAACGGTAATCTCCACAGGGTCTCCAATCACCTTTAGATTTCTTAGGTACCATATGTAGGGGTGATGACCAATGACTCGATGAAGGGCGGATGATGCCGAGTTCGAGCATGTGTTCGAACTCGTGTTTTGCGATTTGTAGCTTATCCGGATGGAGTCGGCGGGGGTTGACATGGACAGGTGGACCTCTCGTCTGAATGTGGTGAACGACGGAATGAGTGACCGGTTGGGTGTACTGACATGGGTGAGTAAGGGTTGGAAAATCCCTAAGTATGTCAGCAAAATGTGAATCCGGTAAGATAACGCGGATACCTGTGGATGAAGTTGGGGCACTAATTCCGTTGACTGAGAGAGATGTAAGCGTGTCTAAAAGACGTTTGTGTCGCACGTCGACAGATAGATTGTAATGGGTCAGGAAATCTGCACCGATGATGGGTGTTTGGACGTCGGCCAAAAGGAAGATCCACTTGAACGCACGTCGCAATCCAAGGTCAAGGGTGAGGGAACGTTCGCCGTATGTAGCGATGCGGGTACCGTTAGCGGCTTGTAACGAGAAAGAAGCAGAATCGGGAAGTGGATTCTTATGTGGTAGCACACTAACTTCAGCTCCCGTATCTACGAGGAAACGTAGACCACTTGAACGATCGGTGATGTGGAACAGGCGACTAGTGCGAGGAGGGCCACAGACAGTCGTCGCCGTTACTGACTGGCCGGGGTGTTTAAAGGGGTGTTGGAACGCGGCTTGAAGGAACAAGGTGGTTGACACTTGCGTGCTTTTGGGCCATAAGATTGGTGATACCAGCACCAAGAGGGACGGGCACGAGATAACGATCTGGATCGTGAACGTGGTCGATGCCTGTTGATCTCTAACCGTTGTAGGCGATCGGTCAAAGCGTCAAACTTGGCTTGTAGGTGCGATATAGAAGCAAGAAGCGGGTCGGAATCTGTGGTGGGTGCAGGGCGGGAGACGGAGTTTACGGGGTAACTGGGGTATGTTTCGTGTATCTTATCTGCCATTTGGGCCAGCTGCTCTAAGCTGTGGTCATCAACGAAAGCGCTGATGACGTGGCACATGGAGGGTGGGAGTTTGTCGAGCCATAGTTGGGCCATGATCTCCTCTGCTAGCTTACGGCCGCAGAGGAGACTGCGCATGTGGCGAAGCATTTGTGATGGCGATCTGTCCCCAAGTTCGACGGTGATGAATAAATCCCGCTGCAATTTGTTTTCTGATTTCCCTGTCCTACTTATGACGGCCGCTCGAAGGGCATCATGCGGGTTTTCCTTAGGAATATCTTCCAACAGGTCTTCAACTTCTGTTGCTACATCACAAGGAAGATGCTGGACAACATAGGAAAACCGGGTGACTTGGGAAGCGATGCTTCGGGTAGCAAAAACGGCCGCAACCTGGTGAAACCATACCCTTGGGTTGCGTGGATTATAGTCTGGTAAACGTATACTAATTGCACTCTCGACCAATTCCGCTGAGTCGAAGTGTGCCTCCATGATTATCGGGCAAAGGAAGCAAAATTACGACGATTTGAAAGGAAAAGTTTTCAAAAAAATATCTAGAAATACTCGGGCTCACCAAATTTGTAGCGGTCTGGCTACCCAATAAGTCAGTTTACCAGGAGTGTGTGGCAAAGTAATAAAAATAATTACGCTAAGTTGGGTATACAAAAATAAATAGGTCAGATGGAACAGACTCACTAACAATTGTTCTCTTTAAAATAGTTCGTCGTTGGCCCAGGTCAGCGAATAAACAATAATCCAATAGTGTTGGTCCAGAGGTCTTCTTCTCAACAGTTTCCACATATAATAGATTCCGAAGATAGTCTGAAATGTTTTGGGTGCCAGAGTTAGTACATGAGACTCGCGAATGACCGCTGCAAGCGCGAGCGAAATCAGAAGGGAGAGTTGAAGCACGTGACCACGCGTGTATTATGTGAAATTGTACAAGTGCGCGTTTTTTGTAGTTTCTCGTATTCAAACAAAAAACGATTATGCAATTGATGAAATACCTAGTGTTATAATGGAAGTAAAATAAAGGTACAAAACGCCACAATAGCAACAATTTTTCTGGTGGGTAGCATATCGTCTGAAGGGCTTTCGCTGACCGTCAGATTCAATTATGGTGCGGAATTTAGATCTCATTTTCGTGGGCCCACGTGGTCTCTGACCTGGAGATTATTAGGAGTTACAAATATATTCTTAGGCGCGTACGGTTGTTAGTACTAAGGGGCGTCGTTGACCAACCCATAGCTGTGGCCTTAAAATCAGAGTCGCACACAGACGTGCACCTAGCAATTACGACTGCGCGCGCAGTTACCACAATGACAGGCAATGAGTGGTCTTATTTCCCGCCAGTCTATTTGGGCTTGTTGGCATATCCTCTCTAAGGAGCGTGATTATTCCCAATGGGAAAATATTGTTGTGATGTCAGTTTACGTGCAGTCATCTCATGGCGCTGTGCTATCTTCTGATAAGTTATGCATATCTGAAAAAAATCCGCGGAGGGGCATACTACTATCAATAATGCACACGACACAAAATTCTCTTTCGACTTAATACTGGACTGGAGACCAGCTTCTCAAAAAAGTGTGTTGTGTAGAATCTCACTGACCAAATTCATTCAGTTTGTCACGTTTGAGGGCTCTTACTCATGTAGACGTTACTCTGCTATATTACTGGGTTGAATTTGCAAAACATATCAAGTGGATTTTATCTCATTTGTGAGGAATCGGTAGCGCTCAATGACCTTAAACTTTCGCTCAGTTAAACAAAACGCCTTAAGCAACAGGAGCACCAAAACGTGCAAACGCATAAGACAAATTCCGGGACTTCGAAAACATCTTAGTTTCATCTAAAATTATTTGGGTTTGATTCCAGTGAGTGGCATGGTGTCCCCAACTGTTTCACCTATTGATTGGATTTTCAATCAACCTTGACGGTAGGGTAATTTTAAAAACGGCACTGGCAAATTTTTCGCCACAGCATGGCCCTCCGAAGGCTGACAAATTACGTCACCAATAAAGAATTCAGAGACTATCTGATGAGGTTTGCGTTAATCTTCTTCTTTAACTTCCCCCAACAGCACTGTAAGTAAATGGCTTTCGATTTCCTCAATTTGATATGGATTTAATTGGCAAAGTTGATTCCATGTGACCGTATTTCAGCATTTTTGGGGACCTGTTGCGAACTGGGGGTTGCCTTTAGCCGCTATTGGTGACTTAAAGAAGAATCCGGAGCTGATCAGTGGTAACATGACGACTGGTATGTTCACTTTTTAGGTGACGCGCCCTAGCACTGATGTTCTATTCTCTCCTCTTCATGAGGTTTGCCATTGTTGTGCAACCGCGCAATTTGCTACTTTTTGCATGTCATATAACCAACGAGACGGCTCAGTGCGTACAAATGGGACGTTTCATAGATTATTGGTATGTTGCACGTTCATTGTCAATATCAATTAGGTTTGTGAAATCTGAGGAACAAAGAGAGCGAATAAGGGAGAGCTTCCGCATGCCTGTGGTTGTCGCATCAACAGAGGGAAAATAAACAATGATAGGTCTTACGCAGCTTCCATAATGTAATTTGAAGGTAATATAATGTTCACTGTTCACGGTTTTCTCAATTATTTGTCTATGTTTCAATCGGCTGTGCCAGCCTTTCCTCAATAAATTACCTAATGGAAATTCTATTTTATCAAATTACCTTGATGGTGGGGTTCCGTGTACAGCCGTTTGGACGATTACACGTTGTGGCGGTTAACCGCTGGGTCTATTTTCATATCTAGTAATCACCTCTTACAATTAGCACTCTGGCCTTAGGTGTCGGTTTTGTCCAGCGCTCAGTTGTTTGTATAGCTTCGCATTGACTGTGACTGGTTGCCAGGGCTGATAGTTGTTACCGGGTGCCTTTTAGATGTTCATCCGACCTTTGCACAATGACATAGTCCCTGTTTTCTCGCGTCATGACGGCAGGCTAAAATTTCCGAAAGCTGATAACCTAAAATTGTTCGAGAGCTTACAAGAATCTCTGAAAGTTAGACGGGTGACCTCGTTGATTTTCGGCCCGCAATAGAAGATCGGTTAGCATTTCGAACTCTTGTCCCTTCGAACTGCGTCCCTCCTTGTCACACGTCTTTTTACTGTCAGATCATTTATTTCTCATTGGTAGTAACAATGGGATGAATTATGGTATTTGCACCGACCTTCCTACTTTCGGTTCCTTATTCCTCCTGTCAGACGTTCAGGTTATTTCAGGACGCTACAATCGTTACTCTTTCCTCAACTTGCATGGTTTTTCCGCGCATCAACTGAATCTGGAGGTTTTCATTTTGGTACTGCTTTAGTTTGGGTATTGTCGATCCTCCCCTCATGACTGTCATTCAGGCTACCTGGATAGCAACTGACAACCCAAAACGCGATTGATGTCGATTAGCGGTGTTTCCAACCGGTAGAGATCTCGCGGTTCTAATCATGAAGGGCAAGTAACACCGACAATACCCAAACATTTCGTTAACTCGTTCCTACCCAGCTGCCAGCTCTCTGTTTCCTCCATTTTATTGACCTCATCTGTCACACTACAGTCGGGGTCATTAAAGCTTTCAAAATAAGTAAAACGCTCCACATTTTCATTTGGCTCTCTCTGGCTTATGAATGGAGCGCTCAGTGACTGCACGACCTTAAACTTTGTGGGTGCAAAGTGCATACTTTTTCCGGTTCACCCGGAAACACCTGCGCCTTCTCCTTTTTGAATATGTCATCAATATCATCCGCATATTCCAGATCGACAGGTTCCTCAAGCATTCGTTCATGCTATGTGTATTTGAACCTCATTTTAAAGCCAATGTACATCTAGAGAAACCGATGCAGGTGGAAGAACAGGCGCTCCATATTAAGGCAACTGCTGCTGGATTCCAGGTTCTCAACCACTACTTTAAGGTTTGTGGCGTCGTATTTTCGTGGTTTTCATCCGTATTTTCATTTCTTCTGTGTAGACCAGGCATGGAGGCTGAGTCGCTATCATCAGGCGGTTATTGTAGAATGATGACGGTGTAGGATTGGGCCCCAAGTATTCGGAATAGGCCTTTGCCTTCACCTACCCTTACTGGCGGACTGACTTTGTTCATCGATTCCTATACGCAGTGTAAAATATCATCACTCTCTTAGGCACCTAGGTGGAAACCTGCCACGTTACATCAGTGTCGTACCCCAAAGCCACAGTAGAAGTGCAGCTTTCTTTGGCTACCATCAGACAGCCTATGAAGTAGCGATGCCGAAGATTGTTCGTCACCAAGTGACGTTGTACACGACTAGAGATGATCCTGTCCATGAGTTCACAAATTTTTTCGGCCAGTTAGCTGTTCACATCAGCTAGACAGACATCAACAGCCAGAGTTAAGCATCGGGCTAAACACTCTGCAGCATTCTGTTGATTTGAGAGCTTAACCTTCCGGATGGCCTTAACTAGCTTCACGAGAATTTACGCTAATTCTCCTTCTACCAAGTAACGCGTGTAAAGAGGTCCCGATGATCTGTTCGTAATAGGTAGTTTTGGATATTGATCATCATCATCAGCTGTAAAAATCGTGGTTCTAGCTGCCACAGTTTCGCTCACGAATGATTTGGGGAGGTGGGGTAGATGTTTGCTCATTGGAGGCGGTAGCTGAGGTAATTGATGTGTAAATAGACGTTTGTCATTAAACTTCACTGGGGAGATTAGGAAGGGAGTTATGCAGTGAAAACGTCTTGATTTCATATGTTCACTAGCTTCCTGCTTTGTAGTAGCATTTTACGCACGTTTTTACACGGTTAGTCCCTGGTTGTGCTGAATGTTGTGTACTGAAGTGTGTCAATCGGTGAATGACTCCGTTTTATCGCCGACTCGGTCACCTCTGTTCTGCCAGAGATCCAGTTTTCTACTCTTCCGAAGGATACAAGCAAGGATTCGGGTATCGTTTCTAAACCACCCGATTCAGTCTCCAGTATTATCCGTGGTCGCACATCTCATCTATACATTAGAAGCACGTTCGAGGTGCCCAGACGGTTTCAATGATTTTATGTGACCTGTGCACAGTATGTATAAGAACAGAACAGCGGATGACGCCTGAAGTAACGACGGCAGGTTGAAGAGTTCTGTACCCAATATGAACCATTCCAAAGGGATTTGAAAGTTAGGACATTCGGATTTGCAAGTTAAGCAGGTCTAGGAACTTGAGGAAAGCGCGGAACGTGGACAGTTCGTTGGTGTACACAAGAGTGAAAAATAAACACATCAAGGTAGCTTCTGCTGTGGTTTATATGCCTAAGCTACCGGCTTTGGATGGGATAATGGAGATTTGGCAAAAGATCCTAAGTGCTTCCGGTCGATCGACTATATGGCTCAAGTCGATAAAGTGCATTGACATTGGTAATGGCCACAACCGCACCTCCAAGGGCAGTTAGTCTTCCCGAGTTCTCTTGGATGGTTGCCGTGCTTTAGCCAGCATGTGTTGCACCACTTCGCAATCAATTACATCAGCCTTCCGTACATAATGTGGGCATCAAGGTGTGCGCTTTTGTTGTTCATAGGCAGGTGGTGCTGGTTTGGCTGAGTCAAACTCTCCGGGCCAGTACCACAGGAACCCTTAAATTTCGGCGTTAACATGCACCCTACGGTCACATCACTAACTATATCAGTCTGAAATCGTTCACAGGTGGCCCAGGTTGTATGTTCGTAATATATATTTGACTTTTCGTTTTCCTATCTGGATTACAAATCACATTGTATTTCGTTGCTCGACCTGAAACTGTCACTTTGTGATGGTCGGGCTTGTGTACTGCAATGATCCTGCAGACTATACTGACTGGAATCTAGTTCCTGAGGGTTCAACCGTGTCAGGAAGTTCCACTGGAAGCGGCCCGACTAAGAACAGCGGGTCCCCACACTGCGAGTAATCGTATAACAAGGTGGTTTGAAGGTAAAGTCGTGCTGTCCTGTGCGATAGGAGTGTGAAGGCAGTGCAGCGTTTCACTCAGGTAACCAGCATGTCCATATTTATGGAAGCAGCGATGTCGCCTTCCCACGACGAAGGACAGGTTACAACCGTCAGCCTTACACGTATCAGAGCATAGCAGTTCCATTCACCAAATTTGACAGGTTTGAGTAGCTCAAGCTTATCGAGCTGATCTGTCTAGCAAAGTACTTGAAAGGCACAGTCATGCGGATGACGAAGATTGCTTGGAAGTTGGAGGTAAGTGGGTTAAAGAAACAATGCTTCCAGCTTTCAGAACTGTCCAATTCATCTGACTCGACTAAACAAACACTGAATATCGTCCAAATCTACAGATATTGGAATGTCGGAGTACCTGTTGCTAGACTTTGAGTGACAGAGCGAAAAATGAAGTGAGGTTTAGGCATGCTCTTATGTCTTACCTTATTTCACCTACCGTTGGCTGTATCCATTCCAAAAGGACAGTATCTGCTGGCTGTTTCTAGTCCCGTTTCGCTACATTCGTAAATAAGGATTTGACATTGAAATTCACAAGAATATCATATGGTTCCACGGGGAGACCCGCTACTTTGTTGGCAAGTCGTAACGGGGCTTTCGCTGCGAGTGTTGGCTTCCTTGAGAGGTAACATTGTGAGTCTTGTCAATACGTGAGGTTTCTTAACAGGATTATGCAGTCCTTCTTGTTGCAGAGGTAGCCCTGTTAGTAGGAATGATATCACTCATTGCTGTTATCCGTTATTGAGAAGGCTACAGCCTGGGTGAAGTTGGTTCCAACACATTTGAATACGCCCAGCTATTTTTAGATCTTAGTTCGCAATCATTTGACCACCTTAATAAGGGAAAAAGGGCTTCCCCCCCTTCAGTGATGATCCGTTCTTTCAGATGGGCCACTTCACGACTGATGGTGACTGCCATTGTGGACCACAGGAGACTGTTGCGGTAGTGTTTTGGATAGATTCATGTTATACCCATAAAGCGGATAGTCACTGAGGTCACGCACATAAGATGAAATGAGCTCATATAGCAGTTACGGTCGGACTGCATCACCTATCATGTCCCTTCTCGCCCCGTGTACCGATTAATCTGTACGTTAACAAGCCGTAGTTAATTACTGCTGGCGTAATGCCGTCCACAATAAGAATGAGGATGTCAATAGCCCAACATTGTGACCATTTCGGTAATAACCATTCCATTTCAAGAGGAAAACTGAGTCACTCTAAGTTTCTGCGCTTCCCACACCGTTGATTCATTACTCTCACCTCCAATAGTTTCAGATACAGTCCCCTACTTCCATTGTCTCGATATAGGTGACCGAACTCTAGAAGGGAATAACGCGCCTCTTTATTGAGATATGCACTCACTTCTAGGTACAAAGGGACATCACTTTGTGTGTTTGACACTCATCTTCGTCATGCGCCAAGAAGAACCACATTTTCGACACTCCTATGTGTACGGGATTCCCAAACTGCTCAAATATTGGAATGCACTTTGAAATTTGGTAACACACCCAAATGAAATTCAAATTAGCTTCGATGGGACTCTTCTAATTTGTACAAGATAAAAGGCTTTTCCATTATATCAAACACGTCGCAACCCCTCGAGGATACTCTGCTGTTAACGTGTCGAGCACCACTCATTTTTTCCATGTTGCAAAGTACAGTAAAGGCTGATCGATGACCATCCAAACTAATCACTCGAGATAGCATGTTTTGTTTGAATGTGGCTGGTTGACCAGTATGCTTCAGTAATGACTTGGACTGGTAAATAAATGTATCGTGCACAATTCTCACAAAACCCTTCGTGACTTCGAGTAATCTCTGGTGCTCCCGACTTGAGAGTTTCGTGCTTAGATCTGGTTTGCTGAATACTAGGAAGTCCGCCGCAGTATATTTCAGATTGTGGATATAGGAATGCTGCTGTAACCAATGTCCACGTTATCGGCACGAAGTTGGACGATGATTGTCGATTGATGGTCAATACATTCTTGTTTATTTTCACGCTGCCTTGCGTAATCTAGAAGTTGTGTTTTCTGCAACAGGATGGGGCAAACATGTAGAAGAAACGCATGATGAATCTGACCACATTAATTTTACACTCGACCGGATTTCGCCATCGCGCTAATTGGGACCCGGAAACCACGACAAATATAGATTTCTATGGGCAGCTACGTCAAACCTTCAGACGGAAGTAAAACATCATTTGTCTTTTAACTGGTCAGTCGACGGTACTCATATGCAAAGTTAACTAATGGGTCTGTTTTATCTTCCGATCCTTTATTTCACAACAGAGCAATCCTGCACTCCCTTCTCATGTTTTGACAAGAATTGAACGGTGACTACGTCAAACAATCCGTGAAAGTTAGCCGTATTAAATGCTGTAATAAAAAGCGCAGACCGGAAATGGAGGGAACGGCAAGCTAACGCGCAGTTGTCTGCTGGTACCCAGGTTGAAATTCTTCAGTTTCAAACAAGATTACGTTTCCCAGGTGGTCACTGAACTGCGACTAGATGCATGAGCCGAAGGAGCGGAGCACTCCTAAGAATGCAGAACTGGTTTCTTTAACAGACGATGAAAAACACCCGTTTTCCTTGAGTGTTTGAACACAATGTCTTGTCACTATTCTATCATATCTCATTGGAAGCCTGGATCCAATTTTTACCATTCCCAGTTTTTTTGTATTCAGTTACTGGATCTCCTGAAAATAAAATGCGACTGCGTTCATATACTCTCCAACAGTCTTGATGGTATGCGTCCAGTTTACATACGAATTTGGCTTTGACAAGAGACTCAGTTGAATCTAACCGACTATCGTTTATAACAGTCTTTTCAAGAACAGCGAAACAGGTTGTGGGCTGTTGAAGACGTTTTAGCAAATTTACGAGTAGTGTCTTACACCTGGACAATGCATTGCCATATTTCAGATACCGTACTGAAATATGTGGTAGACTAGTGAAGCACATTCATTGAAGGCCATTATAAACAGGAAATTCTACTGCATTCAATTGAGTCTCCCGCCAAGTGATAATAATTGGCGAGTTTCGTTGGTACTTTTAGCCAGCCAACTCAGTAACTGAACAATTTACGCAGACTGTCGAACGAACAGGTCATGTCCAAAAACCATATCTTGATTCTGTCGACCCGATCTAGGTGTCCGTCAAACGTAATTATTTTTTTGTATTTCTTAATCCCTTGAACGTTTGACAGGTAATTCGTGATATTATTTTTGTCCAGCCTATGACTGAACCACCCGAGTACACGGTGGACCTTATGAATCGTGGTTGTATGAATTTAAAGGGGATGGTCAGTGCTCGTGCCCTGATGACTAATTGGTATTTATCAAATGAAACGAAGAGAAGTAGGCCATCGGTTATTGAACCGTAGTCATGTTAATTTTATATTCACAAAAGGACACTCTACAATCCGATTTTAGTTTTTTGGAATATCTTGTGAAGTTTGCGCATTCTGCTTGTTTGCTGGTGATTTGAGACCAAGGCTTCTGTGATTCATCATCTTTTTTTGCGTCGGTAAGTGATATGTGGGCGAAATTGCCGAAGTGGTCAGAGCGCGAATTTACTGACCGGAAGGTCCGTGTTTCGAACCCGACCTCTGCCTATCGACTTCCCCTGTCTAGGCTTGGGCAACCTGGCAGTATCCCAGCCCTCATGCAACCTTCGGGTGGCATGGCAGTTAGGCGCCGAAAGGGTGCTACAGCTGAACTATTTTTTTTTCGTATATGATACCTGGTGTGAATGTGAAGTCCACCTCCTGGGGACAATGATGTTAAGCATAGGAGGCAGTATACTGGGTATCATATCACTATCAGGTTTACCATGGAGGTTCTGATTGGATTTGCTATGACGTGTTGGCTTATATATTTTTAAACCCTGTGCCATGTCTCGTCAGACGCACAGCCACGTGTCGGAAGCGACGTTCATTCGATCATGCATGAAAATTTGGGACAGACCGAAGAACATGGTACGCATTGTTTACATTAACAATCCGTAGGGTGGGTATCAGAATGCAGTGTCAAACTTAGCGCTAGTATCGCGAGTTGTAAGACAAAGCATGTATATATTTGATCCGTCTCGTTGCCGATTGCTTTAATTAAGAACCAGTTGCGACAAGTATGCCAACTCATCAGGTTTCTATCGGATGCGCAGCCAGTTAGGTGAGTGAAGCTGGATGAAAAATCTACCCTCGGTCGTTTAACCATGCGTTTGAGGTATTTTCCAATCTGTTGTGTTAGAAAAGCCTGTTAGCCATTCTACATTTCGGGGATATCCTATGTAAACATCAAAACCGTTGACGTCCAACGGCTATATATATGTTATCCTAAGTAAACGGAGCTTTTAGTCTTCCTAATGCGAGGCCACTGTCGTCGAAATCACGTCATGAAACAACCCATCCACCCTTGAACTATTTTCATACCTCTCTTGCTGTTGCGTAGATGAGGAATGCTCGCACGAGGTACACAAATATGTACTACACGAAAACGAAAGCCTGAAATTTATTTAATGCCGCATCTGCTGTTAAATCTCATATCTTTGGTCGCTTTAAAGTGTACAGGAATCACTTGTGTCATGCTCACATTCCCGGTGATATCGAGCACACAGCTAATTCAGGTCGAACGAAGACCGTTCGTCTGCTGGCCCATTAAGTGACGCACTGTATTCAAGTGGTCTTTTCACATTTCAGTTACCGCTACGTGCTGTTACTTTGCCTGCTATGGATTGTTCGCCCTGGGAAACCAAACGACTGACTAGCGTTTCCGATTCTGTCTAATCTTCTCACTGGCTATTGGCACCTACTGTCGTCACTTGAAATTGGGCCCAGCCACGTAGATGCTGCTCTTGACTGTCCACCAAGTATGCACCAGAGCTAGAGATAGATCCGTGGTTAAGGTGCCAGCTTACGGAACGGAACGTCCCTGGTTCGAACCCAACTTCAGCATCTCAACTACTGTGTAGGCTTGGACAACCTGGCAGGATCCCAGCCCTCGTACCTCCTTCCGTTGGCATGGCAGCTAGTCGCCGAAAGGGTGCCACAGCTGAACGGAGTTCGCGTCACTCATTTGTTCTAACTAACTAGACAACGAGCAGCGCTTATTGGTTAGCTGACTTGCCAATATAGTCTACTATCCTGAGGTGTAGGAGCGAATCTCGTGCGCATCCAGTGGACGTCCAGGTAACCAATCATTCGCGCGGACCAAGGCTCGAAAAGTACCCACAGGGAGCGTGTGGAAGTGCATGCACCAACGCAGTAAATCCTTTGACCATCTGGTTTTGACATAAAGACACCTATTACGATCCAGAAGTATTTTGAAAAAGGCAACAGGACTTCGTATAACTGATGTACGGCAGTGCAGCATCAGT